ATATATATATATATATATATATATATATATATATAAAGAAACAGTGTAATATATTAAGGTTCATATTAGTATAATTTATGCATATCCCATAATGCTGTACGGGAATAAAAGTTGTAACTCTACCACGTTGTTTGTATTGCTTATATTCCTACACTAAAACAAGTCTCAGTATACTACAATAGTAATAAGCGAAAATAACGGAAATTGCTATTTATTTCGTTGGAAATTGAATCATATAGAAAATGGAAGAAAAAGAACTGGAGACGAGTGTATTGCCATGACAATCGTATAAACAAGCCAAATAGTTCATTTGGCTGCACCCACTAATTGTGCCAAGCTTCACTGAATTTAATAAATGATGACCAAGATTCAGATTTGGTGTTATTGCCACTATTTCTAGTCAAGCTAGTGACGTCAGTGGGCCGTCACAACTCAAAATATAGAAAGTGCGATAACATGAGAATGAAACGAGATACGAATAAACTGTAAACGTAATTTTTCATCATTTGAGCAATAGCTTTCAATAAAACAATAAAAAGATGAGGAAAAATTTCGTTTCATCGACACTTCCGTTTCATACCACACGTAGGAGTACTTTGAGAAAATCAAAGCTAAAGTTTATGTAAATGAACATGATTTTTCATCACGTATAAAACCGCCGACACGATAGTGATTTCCTTTTCCGAATAATGAGTTTTTTAATTCCTTACAATATATGGTGGCAAGAAATTAAAGTTAGGGTTCGGATTCAATAATATTCAATCAACGTGGACCTGGCTCGATAACGACTTCGTCGGTGGAGAGGCCATCTAGGAAAATTACCTAAATAAGACGTAGTTAACTGGAAAAGTGGGAACTTGTAAGGGCATGAAAACAATCTCCAGGACATTTTTTGAATTTTGGCCTCCGTGACTTAATTTTCAGCATCTTCAGAAACAAGTTTTTGATATATTTTATCCGATTGTATTGAAAGGGGCAACTTGTAAAAGAAGCGCCGTGAATGCATGATCTCTTCTGCTTTCCATTACAGTTAATAGAAGAAGTACTTACTGGTACCATGTTAATTACAATCATATATTGCTTGAGTATGAGTATGAGTATGAAAAACTTTATTTTAGTACGGTAAACCTTTCAGCGTTACAAGTAATGCTGTTCTCAACAGGTGCCCTACATTCCAACAACTTAAAATGTACAGAGGTAGAAAACTAATATAAAGATGCACCTAAAATTATATTTACATTATATTTAAATATATTTAATGTAAAATAAATACATTTAATGTATTTAGAATCATATTTAAGCATCGGTAACATCTGAGAATTTATTAAATACAAAGCAGCCGTTATAGTAAAACGACTTCTTTGCAGCTTCCAATTTTACCCTAGGTACTTACAATTGATTACTCTGTCTTGTACGCCGTGATACTCTATCATGATTAAATTTAAAGTAATCCATTAAAAACTGAGGTACGTTGCCCTTCAAGCATTTGTTAACTAGCTTATAAACATACATGTTCCGTCTTTCAACTAAAGTAGTCCAGCATAGGCATTCAAGATTAACGTCACTATGAGTGGATTTGCATACAATTCTAGCTGCTCTACGCTGCACTCCGGTTCCAAAGAATCAGCGTCAGTCTTGTTACAGCATATCCACACCGAATCTGAATAATCAAAAACCGGACGTATGAGACATCTGTACATAACGTTAGCGGCATTTAAAGTTATATCTGAAAGGTAATTGATAAACCAGTTCAGTTCAAAAATTACGGGAACCACTTAGTATTTTAATAAAATATAAAACAACGGTAGGCCTAACTCCGAAAATAAACATTTTAATATTCTAGCTTTCGACTAAGATTCAGTCATCATCAGGAATGATGCTACGTTACATTACATCGATATATATAATATATATATATATATATATATATATATATATATATATATATATATATATATATATATATATATATATATATATATATATATATATAATTTGGTTTTGTTGGTTATAAAAACTTTTGGCAAAGTGCTCAATGGAAAACCAGAGCATATTTAAATTAAGGTACAACAAATCAACAAAATCCACTAGGCATCTTTATATAAAGACGCCTAGTGGATTTTGTTGATTTGTTGTACCTTAATTTATATATATATATATATATATATATATATATATATATATATATATATATATATATATATATATATATATATATATATATATATATATATATATATATATATATAGTTTACAAAATCGAATGTTCAATATGTGGAATTGTTTACATTGGGGAGACCGGGCGACCAATTGGATCACGGATCAAAGAACACTTGACAATGGAAAAGCAGACGGTTTATATACATTTGGAATCCCACAAGAAATCAAAGTTACCTACAATAAAGTGGAAGATTTTACATGCTAATATCGTGAACAACGGGAAGAGGAAATACGTCGAGGCATTTGAAATACAAAAACATTCTGGAGACTTGATGAACGGTTGTACTGGTAGAACAATTAGTGTTTGAACTATTTTAATCTATTAACATTGTATAGTACTTTAAACTACGGGACAATAAATCAGTTGCATGTTTGAATTATTTTAATCTATTAACATTATATAGTATTTTAAACTACAGGACAATAAATCAATTGCATGTTTTGCATATTTTTATATACATTAGCATACGCATTGTAAATTTAGTATTTTAATTAGTTTCATATATATAGAAGGAAATATTATTGTAAAACATTCCACTGAAGAAGCCGTAAAAGGCGAAACGTTTGGAAAATATACTTTGTGTATTTTTATATCTGAAGAAATCTTATAGCCAAGTTCATATATATATATATATATATATATATATATATATATATATATATATATATATATATATATATATATATATATATATATATATATATATATGATAGTGAAGATTAAGTAATTTGATATGTACAGAAACGATTAGTTAAATATTACAAGTTCTTTTGATGCCTTAGTTCCGTGATTAAGATCAGGTTTAAGTCGTCTAATGGCAAGTGCTAACCAATGATCAGCTCTGTCTATAATCTTAGAGTTAGTAAATATAAGTTCTGAAAGTATACAAGTTTGAGTTGGGTTAGTTTCTTCGTCTGGATACAGTTCTAAAATGGATTTGATATGTTGAAAGTGTTCGCATGATGTGATGTGGTTAAAGACTTCAGATTTGTTGTCCAGTGAGTGTTCTTTGATTCTGGTGTTGAAGCAGCGATCTGTTTTACCGATGTATCTACTTTTACATCCAGGACAGGTGAATTCGTACACTACAGAGCTTTGGTATTTAGCCGGTGTTTTATCTTTGTTTGAGAGGAACGAGTTGCTGTTAGTAGTTTTCCAATTAATGATGAAATTGCATTTCAATTTTAGTAGTGGGGTTATTCTATGTATAAATGAGCGGGTTAGTCGGGTACCATATTTGCCAAGATAGGGTAAAGGTAGCCAGATTTTAATTAGGGACAGGGTTAGTTAGATCAGTATCAGGGTTATCTTGAT